GTGTGTGTGTGTGTGTGTGTGTGTGTGTGTGTGTGTGTGTGTGTGTGCTCTGCTCTGCCCTGCCTCCATATGAAATCCTTTAAACCTCATTTATACGCACACTCACACAGATTCAATCCTCACCTACAGGAACCTGTTAGAGCAGGTGTCTGCTGACGCTCTCTGAAAACAGATTGACTTACTCATGTTTCTCTGTTCACAGATTTTTAGGATAAGTCTGATGTTCTGTATTCTTCTTATTGTCAACAAATCCCATGACAAGATCCATTCCAACAATGTGTGTGTGGCTCACAAGTCCATTGGTTCCCACTAAAGACATGCATCTGTAAAGGCTCTTCACAAATATACAGTTTGATTTTAGGAAAGTCTTTTCCTGAAATAGCCCGACACTGTAGTTTTGAGCAAACGTTACTTGGAGGAGGACACATGGCATTTGTTGGGGACTATTTTCAGAGTCAGATTCATCCACACTTGGTGCTCTAGTGAGTGTGGAAGGTGAAAGTGGGCTTGAGTCAAAATAAAGTGGTGAGGAAGGAACATGTCAGCCAGTGCAATAGAGAGGCTCATTGGTGTGTTGAGAAATAAGTGAATGAACATTCATTGTTCTGTGAGAGTCAAACCACAATGATCTGATTTGGTGTTCAGAAACATGTAGAATATTCTTATCCTTCAAACAACGGTCCTTTGTGATTTATCACTATAGTCACTTTAAGAACTCAAGATACTGAGTCAGTAAATAGCTGATGGACTGAGTAGCTGAATAGCTATCAAACAGAAGTGAGTTAAGCCTCAGTAGCAAAGTGACAGGCTGAGAAACTCTTGTCTGTATTTTTGTGCAGCTGCATTTAAATCTGTGCAGAAGCGCGCTACTTGCAAGGGAACAGAGCTAGGCTACAGGCTAACCTTTTATCCTGCTTGCTAACCTTCACTCCTTAAAAATACCTAAGACTGGATTTAAAAACCAAGTGGAAGATGAGATAGTGCTGCACGCTTTACAGAGAGATGGCTGAACGACACCGTTCATGTGCTAAATCACAAGGTGGTGTGTGCATTTAGACCGCAGACCTCAGTGATGTCAGCCGTAGGTTTGAGCCAAACAAAGCTCAAAGTGGGCGACTCCAGCCGTTGCCATCTGGCCAGTGATGACACAGCCTATTCCAAAATGGGCAAAGATGTGGAACGTGGATGGACCTAAGTCGGGCCAATTGAAACTACCATGCTAGCGAAGACTAACAAGCTAGTAAAAAGCTATGTGACGTGCTACTCTGTGTTGACAGCCGGCTAACGGTAACTCTGTGGTCTAGTTGCTCCCGGTTAGTAATAATAATAATACTAACGTTAGAACTTCACTCACTGAAAAAATTGGAGTTCTGACTTCTTCCATCAACCAATCAATTTATTTGTCACATGAAATCGTTCAAGTTAAGGTTACAACTCCAATGAAATGCTATCCTGTCAGCTCCTTCAGTTTGTGCATTAGCATTAAGGTTATTCATCATAAAGCACACGGCTCCTCCTTTCTGCTTCCCTGAGTCCTCTGTTTGTCAGATAAGTGTATAGAGCAAGAGTCCTGGTTGAATGGCGCAGTGGGGTATTCCAGGATTAAGCCAAGTTTCACAGACATTACAGGTCCTGATATCCCCTGAAAAACTGTTCCGGGCACGTATGTCATACTGCGGCACTCCATCATTCAACGGACGCACATTGTCCAGCAGGATGCCAAGTGTACAATTAACCACCCAGCAAGACAATAGATGACGTCTGTGTCACCAAGAACCTTGGATGACCACAGAGCGACATGGTGGCCCGCAGATCAACAAGAACCTGAACCGAGCCATCATGATAACGAAGCCGGCTCATCTAAAGGCACTTCCATGACCACAGGGACACAAGTCGCATGTGGCAGAGAATACAAACTATCAGACTATGAGACTGCTCCTCCACCCTGTGATGATAATATTGACTTCATAAATGAGCTTTAACACGTTTTTTGGATGGTTCGAGGCAGTCAGCGACACACCTGCGAGGAAAGCCACCCCTCATCAGGATGATCACTCATCATAGTCAACTCACGGAAGGATGCAAGTCCTAAAAATGTACCAGGCTGTGTGAAACTGGCCCATTGGGCCTGAGCACCCCCCACTGTAACTGGCCTATGGACTTCCTCACAGACAGACCCCCGCCAGTACGGGTTGGAAACAACTTTTCCAACATTATCTCAGTGAACACTGGTTCCCCTCAGGGCTGTGTCCTGAGTCCACCAATGTTTAGTCTGATCACCCACCACTGTTGGGCCAAGTTCAGAACAAACCACATCATGAAGTTACACAACAGTAGTAATCCTGATCAGGGTCCACAAGGAGCTGACTCACAGGGAGAAGGTGGAACAGCTAGTGGACTGTTGCAACACCAGCAACCTGTCCCTGTCCCTGAATGTCAACTAAACCAAACAGATCATTGCTGACTTCAAGAAACTTCACTATGGCAAGTATAAACCAACCTTGAGGGACAACTGACCTGGACCCTAAACTCCTCATCTCCAGCCAAGAGAGCCCAGCAGCTCATGCACTTCCTGCGAGGGATGAAGAGAGCACACCTCCCCCTCCCATTCTCACCACATTCTACAGAGGCATCATAAAGAGTGTTATGACTGGTTGCATCTCTATCTGATATGGAAACGGCAATGCCTCAGACAGGAAGACCCTGCAAAGAGTGGTGAGGACAGCCGAGAAGGACATAGGGACTTCACTCCCATCCATTCGGGACTTTTAACACACACGCTGCCAGACCAAGGCCACGAAGGTTTTCGCAGACTCCTCCCACCGCTATCATAGACTGTTTGCACTTCTGTCCTCTGGCCAAATATAACGTGACAAACGGTGCAGAACGACCAGGTTCTGTAATAGCTTCCTTTCCCAGTTTGATAAAAGGAAATTAAAAAAAAAGACATCCAGACATCATGGTTGGATGTCTTCTTCAGTGTCATGGAGACATATAGGCTCAATAGGAACGGGGCTCAATGTGAAGCCGGTTCACCACTCCCCGACTCGGTGGCAATCCTTACGTTTGCATAACCCAAAGCATGATGAACATGTGACTGTGTATCAAATAGTTACCATATTACAATAGTTTTGTTCAACCACTTGAATTAAAGCAGAAAATCAGCACTTCAATTGCATTTAATGTGACCGGGCACGTTGCATCACTAAAGTTAATTGACTCTTGCGAACAGCTGAGTGTAAGAGGCCGTTTGGTGTGAAGCCGGGAACTGTCATCCGACTTTAATTATCTGATGTCTCCAAACTTTTAAAACAACATTACAATGTGGTAAAATAAACATTTACCGGAACATCTTATTTCTCCTGGTATTTCAGCTGCTCTGTGGGTATAAAATGTGAACATATAGAGATTAGCATACAGAATAGAATATAGGAACTGGTACAATGTGAGTACAGGCAGAGCAACACAACCCGCTGATCCTAACAACACTTCCCTTTAGCGTTTTGTGAGTGTGCACGCACGTTTGTGAGTGCGTGTGTGTTGGCGGGCTGATTTGCAATGCTGAGTGCACTGAGTGGGCGGATGAGGAGGAGAGATGAGACCGAGAGGCAGGGGCAGAGTGAGGGAGAGATGGGTTTGGAGTCAGAAAAACAGTGGATGTAGAGAGAAATGCATGTGAGAGCACCGGGAGTCACAGCGATCCACCGAACTCCGACACACACAACAGTGTGAGCGCTTTGCCCACGCAGGGCCAGAGGTGAACGTTATTCCTCCCACTATAATTACCTCTCTCCTCTGCTCTCTATCCCTCTGTCTCTCTGACAAACACACCGAAACACACCTACACACCAAACATTTTGTTTTCTCAAATGATTTTTGAGCTGATAGCTTCAGTTTACACTTCAGCATCAGGTGGAAACCTGTTAAAGCAGACACAATCAGGCTCTCAGCTCCGGGAAGCTCTGAAATGTTAGAGGTTTATTTCAGGACAGGAAAACTTTGTGAATTGGACTATTTCTAGGAGATGTTGCAGTCTGTGACAGAAATGTTTCCCCAATGCATTTTCATATTGGTTCTTACATTTAGTGTGTTTAACTTAAACCCAGACTGAACAACTGAACGTCTTTATCATACTGCATGTCAGGGCACAGGACATGTGTATCACTGTGGTGAATGGTTTATGGAGGTCCAACTACAGGACTCATGAGTATCCCTAAATAACAGAGATCACATATACAATAGGAAGAGGAGCTTGAGATTAGATTGTTTTGACAACTCCTGTCAATCTAAGCTTCATGTCAACATGGATGAGAGATCGGATCGGAACTGTGCAAAAGTGGAAGGCTGCATACCCTATTGCTGACATTCATCACTTTGCACAGCATCCTCTTGGCTAACACCACTACCAAAGAATCATCTCCGTCCCCAGGACAGAGCCTGTTGAGCTTATTGGTTCAGCAAAGGAAATAGCACTAGCGTCCTGAGCATGGTAGAACATCCTCTGCATGGTAGAACATCCTCTGCATGGTACTGCAGACATTGAATGACAAGGAAAGTAGAGTCTGCTCTGGCCTTTCTTCTACTTGTCTCGGTGTTCTTAGCCCAGTCCAGCTTGTTGTGTACTCCCAGGTATTTGTAGTCCTGAACAGTTTTCACCTCCACCCCCACCACTTCCTTCATCTTACCAGTGTTAAGCTGCAGGTGGTTCAGCCCACACCAATAAATCAAGTTAGAAGTTGGGTCATGTTCTCATAGACTCATAGATAGTTTTGGGACTTAACTTACCAGTATTCCTTTTTAGTCATGTCAAAGCTGCTTTGCAGTTTCCTCACCTGATGAGAATTTGGAGTGAATTTCACAAACCTTCTGCTTCGTCTTGGTTCGCCAGGAGCTTGTCCTACTTTAACACCCCATCAGAATGCTTTCCTTCTCCTTTTCTCTTCCTGTGGCGTTATCTCACGTATGCTCATTATCTCAGTGTTCAACTCTTCAACTCTTTATTTAGCAAGGATCCAAACTTACCAGACAAGTCAATGCAGGTCACAAAAAGGTTGTGGCTCATTGACATTCAAAGGCAGGCAGCCATCACTAGCTAACATATGGCCATTAAGGGTAAAGTCGTAAGTGTTTTCAATCATCATTTCATCTCTGAAAGTACATTATGGGAAAATCCGTTCCAAGTTCAGAGTTGGTACTGCCTCTTGATACACGGCAGAGGAGGTTCACATTTAGGAAAGAATGTGTTTTAAGAATACAGTTGAGGGAAAACTGTTTCCTATTGAAAACAATATGAACGTCTCAGAAGCATGAACAGACCACATGCATCCCGTCTCCTCTATGAACGGGCCTGGGGCTGTCTGGAGGCTGAAGACCTCAGTGGATGTTCTGACCTCTGTACAGGAAAGACTCAGTGTTGACGTGGAGTTTGTTCAGTGACTTTGTTTCCTGTGTTCTGCTGTAGTTCTTCCCAGAGGCAGCGAGTGAACAGTGACAGCTCTGCTGGTGAAGCTTTAACACACGACACAACACCTGTGGCCAGCAAACTCAGCAGGTTAGTACACTGTTTCACACACACACACACACACACACACACACACACACACACACACACACCTGTAGAGGGATGATGGCTGTATCTTTAGTGTACAACACACTAACACAATGATTTCACAAGTTGTCATGACAGAACAAACAGGCAAACAGACACTGAGGCATATGTCTTAAAGCACTGCAGAGACCAGCTTAGATACAGACTTTCCACCAATCAAACCAGTCGGTTGAACCAGAAACAAAGCACATCTGGTTCTCCTCATCATGTCATGCTCTCATGTCTTTGTCTGGGTCAAGATAACCTTTTGGCAGAATACACGATTCGTGTACGGGAAATGTTTGGATACAAATTGGAATGATATATTACAATTTGTCTGGTGCGCCTTAATCATTTTCTAAGGATGTTTTTATGAGACCAAATGTGTTCTGTTCAATCCTAAGTTGTATGATGATTTTCTTCAACATACTTCATGTCATTTTGAGTGTAGGAGGAACAATAGGGAGCCCTTCATGTCAAATTCCTTCCTCTCTAAATGTGTGTTTTATGTTTGCTGTCACTGAGCTGTCTCTGCTTTGTGTGCTGCAGGGCGGGCTGCATCCATCGCTCCAACACCACTGCTGCTGATTTTAAACCAGGACAGAGGTCAGTACATGTATTTGCACTGTTATTTAAATCAACAAATCGTCAACACATCACAGGAATGAAACAACACAATGATCTAAAGAATGAAATCACATTTAAAAATGATAATTCTGTGTACATCTCTCTTTTATGTGAATGGGGTACAAACCTCTGTGAGTATGAGTCCTGAACAAAAGTTGACACACATGATCCCACACAGTGTCTGCTGTCTGTGCTTGTAAAAGTTTCACTAACGACACAAGAAGCAGCTTTCGCAGTAAGGACCACTACCAGGCAGCGTGGTCACTGATGGCTGCTGTCCTCTGGTCACCACCTCGTTACATTAAGCTGCCACAAGAGGGGTGATTTGATGTCAGCATGGTCTGTAGTTGGTTTGAGTGTGTTCTACTCCAACTTCTCCTTCATTAACAACCCCTTGTTGGTTCTTGTGATATGGCCAGTCACATTCCTCTGCTCATTAAAACATACTGGTACTCTGCTCATTAAAGCTTGATGGACTGACAAAAAGAGTACATGCTCTTTTTTCTGCTGTACCCTGAACGTGTGTGTGTGCGCGCGTGTGCGCGCGCGCGGTCCCTCCATCACACACTGAGTATCAGTTGTTCTAAGAACAGGGAATTATTCAAAATGATCAAATAAGAAATTATTTGAATCTTTACAGAATTATAATAACACATTATAGATATTAACCATGTTATAATAGCTAAATATAATCATGAAATTATTTACAGTTAAAGTCAAATAATGTATATAAGTAAATTATAGGCCTCCTAAACAGGTTGCCAGATATACAAACAAATCAATAGAAAACATACAATAGAAAGAAATGTTTCTGGCTCTTAATCACAGGTGATACATTTTACTGTCATCATCTCACATTTGGACATTTCAGATCCAGGCTGTATTTTAATTAAATTGTGAAATGTCCGTTTGTCAGGGCCTGGTGTTTAGGTCATGGGGTGAGGACATGTAGCTGTGACTCTATCTCCTGTCTGCTGTATGTAATTATGTGCATGTCTGCTGAAAGATGTAAAGATGCACGAGACAGTGTATCAATGCACGTCAGCGAAAATAGAGGCATCCCATGGAAAGACCTAAAACTAACATCCTTTAAGACTCTCTGACTTCTGGCTCACTAATGTATTTTACCTTGTAGCTCTATGGCACAGAGGAATACGATTTATCAGGCGATGATACATACAGGGCTTGTAAGGAGGAGGATACTCCACGTATAATAGAGTTCTAGCAACCCTGTCGTACAATGACAAATAAAAACCTTGTATGTTGGTATACTCCTGTTAGCTATATGAAACATGTTGACTGTGTGTACTTTAATATTCCATCTACTGCTGATGGGGTCACACAATGCCGCATTTCCACAGTTTACGTTTTAGTCCACTCTGAAACACTCAACATGCTTCAATACACACAGCGTAGAGGAAACGGTAGGCTTATTAAAAGGAAGGGGCCTTGGTGATTTAATGCATACCAATAAACATGTTGATAATGATTATTATTATATCATTATGATGAACTTAGTAGATAAAAGACGGGGTGTGCAGGTGTGTTTGTGGTTGTGCATGATTGTGTGTATTTCAAAGTGAGAATTGTAAATGCTGTAAACGTAGAGTGAACTGAAAGAGTAACTGGCTGAACAGCTCTTCTGTCTGTGTTGGTCCCTTTGTCCAGACAGGAAAAGGGCCAAAAGACAAGTGAGACGGAGAGGGAGAGAGAAAAAGGTAACACACGCACACGCACACAAAATTTAAATTAATCTTAAAATCAAGCTCTGAGCCGTAACATCAGGTCTGACAAACTACCTATAGGACTCAGGGATGTGTGTTGTGGGTAAGAGAGAGAACCAGACAGACTGTTGTCGTCTCTGACACACATTTTCTCAGCCTGTATCTCCTTGCGCTCACTTTGCATGCTGGGTGTTGGGTCTGTGGGAGCCTGAGCTGTCTTTTCTGTCAGCCTCTGGTTTTATTCTCTTTGGGAACTTGCATGTTTTCGCTTCATGATCTGGTTCACTTTGTTTTTTTTCTTTGGCTGTGTGTTTGGAGCAGCTTTGAATTTGATTCCTGTCTTGGCGTTTCACATTTGGGGCTGAACACAACCCAGTTCTTCCTGTCAGTTAAAATCTTTTTGGAAATCAGTTCTATAAAAGCAAATTGTCCAGTAGTGCTGTAGTTTCTAAAGGAGACAAAATATTAGAATATGTAATACACATACATCAATTGACATCTTTAAGGATAATTCTTATTATTTTATGATACCAGTGTCACCTTAATACATTTCAGTTGATGCATTGACTAGGGGTGTAACAATACACGTATTCGTATTGAACCGAGGCTTATGGTTCGGTACGCATTACGAACTGAACAATACGTTTGAATAATACTTGTGCATTTGGAAAATGCAGAAGCTTAAATTGTGTGAAATATAATGCGCTCAGCAAGGCAAACCACCCGATGTAACAGACAACATGCTGTCTGACACCACGGAAGAAAACTCTGGTGAGCCACGTTTGTTCTGGGAGAGGCACACTACGCTAAACTAGCTTAGCAGGAAAACCAACAGCAGCACACACGCTACAAACTCCCTGCAGCATTTAGGTAGCTATTCCCTACCGATTCAAACAGGGCTAAAGGTATATTTATAGCCGTGGATGTGAGACCCTACTCTAGGGTAGAAAACCAGGCTGTACTAATACGCTAAATGCTATTGATCCCCGTGACACTACTCATTCACGAGCCCATTTTGCCAGACCATAATTCCTGCTTTGTAAAAGAAAACAAAAGCCCAAACAGAGAATCAAATGTTCGAAGCTCCCGCTGTTCCTCTGACAACAGACAGCCGGATGTCACGGACTACACAAACCTACCTGACTGTAAAAATATATTACCTCAGTACTGAATGGAGATAAAGAGCCATGTTCTTCAGACACAAAGCTACCTGACTGCGGAGAAGGCTCTATGACCACAGAAGGTTCTATGACCACAGAAGGTTCTATGACCACAGAAGGCTCTATGACCACAGAAGGCTCTTGAACTACAGAAGGCTCTATGACCACAGAGGGCTCTATGTTTCTTATTATTTAGCATTTTAAGTATTTGTCTAATTAGATTAGTCAATTCATGAATGAATTGATGAACTCTACAGGGAAATAGAGAGGTAGGTCAGGATTGACTGAATAACTTGAAATGTCTTTCTCTGAAGCAGCTTGATGATTTCTGCTCCATTTCAGTGCTGCTATTGAAATGAATGGAAGGCTGCATGTTTCGACTCAGCTCTATTGTCTGAACACAGTTTGTTCACTGACTGTACCTGAACGCTCGTTGACCTGGACGACCTCAGATGGCCTCAGTTTTCATGAAGATGTAGATGAAGTCATGGAAACCTTTAAATTCAGTCTTCCTTTCTTCATGTACAACATACATGCAAATCCTATTTTTAATGCAGATATGTCCTCTCTCTTTCATACACACACACACACACACACACACGTCACTTGCTCCATTGAACTCTGTTTGATGCAGTCAGTCTGTGTGACCCCTGTGGGTGCTGTCTGTGCCCAATTTATGAGTCTGTGTGAGAGAGAGAGAGAGAGAGGGGGGGGGCAGGTCTTTGCATAGCCTCTACATTTTCATAAATCTCCTCGCTTCCTTTCCTCTTTTCTCTTCCTCTCCTCTTCCTCCCTCCTCTTCCTCTTTTCTCTTCCTCTCCTCTTCCTCTTTTCTCTTTCTGTCCTCTCTTCCTCCCCTCTTCCCATCCTTTCTTCCTTTCCTCTGCTCTCTTCCTCTCCTCTTCCTCTGCTCTCCTCCTCTGCTCTCCCTCTCCTCTCATGTCTTAAGACTGGCTCTCATTTTCTCTGGTTTACTTAATTCTTTCCGTGGGCTGAAATCATTTAATTCCTACAGTCAGAGTGTGTGTTGGGTTTTGTGGTCTGTGTGTTGTTTTTGATTTGTCTTGCAGCAGCAAAAGCTCTTCGAGAAGTTTGAAGTCTGCTCTCGCCCCCCCCCCCCCCCCCCCCCCCACCCCCCCCCCCCCCCCCCCCCC